TGGCGACCCGCGACCATGGAGATATAAGCAACTTTTTATAAGGTAAAAATAATAAAACAGGGTCTTTGTCTGCAATGATTAGACATGTTTTTTATTATWGTCATTAGTGATTATCTCAATTTCGGCTAAAAGAATTGACAAAATCCTACACACTGTGCCTTTAAGGAGGAGAAAGTGAAGGAAATACTTACACAAAAAAGAAGCGAGTGCAGACGTGATCAGACACTGGACACACCCAAATGTTACCATGTTTCTGCAGATCTTTAGATGTAATAACTGTAAAAACAAAAATTAAAAGGAAAAAAACAAAACGTTTAATTGACTGCACTTAATTCTTTATTAACCTTGACTTTGGTTCAGTTGCACTTGTTTTTATATCACTCATGAAAGAAAATGCACCGCAGTAATTTAGAAAATTTTGCTTTGTTGATTTCTATTAAAAAAGACAGTGATTGCCAGATGATCAACACGAATAACTAATCAAACAAATAAACTTTACTTTCATCACACCTAATTTGTTTTTTTATTTAATTTACAAATCTTACATCTTACATATTTGCATCTGATTATATTTGACATCTTTATTTAACAAAAAATGTTACTATATTTAGAAAATAGTCAAAAGCCAGATCTGCTAAAATGCTTTGTTCCTTCAGTGCATAAATTACCTTCACAAAGGGCGATGCAGTTCAAATTCCGACTTTGAAGAAACCTTGATTGTATTGGACGACTCTGATGTAAAACATAAAGAAGTCCATTATAAGTTCAAAATAAATACATCAAAACTTGAGGTATTCAGACAGCAGTATTACAGTTTTGTTCAAGATATTAGATAATTCAAAAGACATGGTTGAGCTTATAATGTATAGGTTAAAGTAAGGATGTAATGTGTTCACCACCTGCGGTATGGTGTTCATGCGGTTGTAACGCTGCACTAGCTCATCTTTGGTGGGCATGCGGTGCTGTCCTTTCCCCATTCCTGCAAAAAGAACCACAAGYCCAACAAACAAGCCTCAGAATAACTTTACAACAAGTCACTGATGTAAAGAAACCCCAAGACTGGGAAGCATCGAGGTAACCTACTGCTCATTATGTCTCACACGAGCAATATTGTTACTAAATCAGACCAGTTTTGGGAGATTTTGAATTATTGTTTAGCTGGAAATACAGAAACATGTAAGGCACATGGAAGAGCCACCAACAGAAACTGATGCCAGTGACAAGATAGTTTTATGCAGCCACAATATAAAGTTCAGTACGGCAGGTTGCACACGGCGCACAAAACCCAACACAAAATAAAATGAACACATGGCACATTACAGATCAACAACATACATTGTTTCCACGTGTAAAAACAAACAAAAAAGAAGCGCACCAAGATGATCAGACCATGTTACAAACAGGTAAACATGATTAAAAAATTAAAATAAAAGCAGAAAGGGGTTGCAGTGGAATCTTTGAGCGAGGAAGGAGCTGGTCCTACCTGAGTATCCAAAAGATATGCTGGAGATGGGGCTCAGATAGATACCCTTTCCATACGCTGCCCCATGCAGCTTGAGATTGAAAAGAGCAGGAAGGAAGGAAGGACGAGTAACTGAGTAACAGCCTTATATTTACACAAATATATCAATTCCTGAAGGAAAAACCTATCAGTGAGTGAGTGTTCTGTACGTGTCCGGGATACTTTACCTGGTGAACTTTAAAACGAATCATGGAATTCACAAATATCAAAAAAAGAATACTCAACATGCAAAACTTTTGAATAACTGTTCAGAAAACGCTCACATGACTGATGTCTGATTTTTGCTAACATGAAATTAAAAGCTGAATGTATGGGACTGGTAGAACATGATGACAAAGACGTCATTTGAAGAAATAAATAAAAATGTGGACAGAAAAAATAAAAAAGGCAGAACAAAGAGCTTCTGAAAGGTTTTGGGTGGAGGCAGTGGTCATGATATAGCACCAAGATCAAAAAGAAACAATAGAAACTATATATATATTGTAATGGCTGGAAACTGAGGCAGACTCTGTTCCTGTATGATAATAGAGAAGGAGGTTTGAAACAGGGAGAGGAGAGGGGAGGGGAGGAGGGAGACAGACGAGCACTGAGCTGAGATCAAAGATGGAGAGTTCAAAAAGTTGGGGGACAAAGACGGCATAAATGAGACATATCAATGGGACCGAGCAATCATGACGGATGAGAACAATTCTACGAGTGCTGAGATTTCAGATTTAATTGTATTTAATCTATTTTCAGGATATGCGGGTTTATCTCCAAGCAGTCATTATCGGCTGTACTGTGCAAATGAGACAGTGCTGTGCTTTCTCTGYTGCACAGATCCAGCTTTGGTAAAAGAACTGAATATTGAAAATGAATACAGAAGTTGCCTTTAGTTAGGTAATTATACAGAATTAGCTTAATAAACTCAGCTGCTACCATTTGTTTTGGGTTTGAATGGATAATTAGTTGCTCAAGACAGAAACCGTCAAAAGAGGCTCTTATCTGCCCATGAGAAGGCAGTGCTCGTTGCTACATAGCTTGTCTTTTGCACCACTTGGCTTCAGACTGAGCTTACTTAGTGGTCTGGGTGGTTAATCCTCCTGTCATCCCAGCTGGCGATAGAGCCCACTACCTAACAGGGTGGAAATGTTTGCTGATGTCAGCGGAGGACACAGAAAGCAGATGACATTGGTCAGAAAAGTCTCCTGCTGTGCCCCGCTCTCTGAAAGGCCAGTTGCAAAGTTGGCAAAAGAGAATCTGCAATCCATTAAGTGCAGAAATAAACCMGACGGAAAGCGTGTTTTGTCCAAGAGCAAGTTAACCTTTTGAAGGAAGATGCATCATAAACAGTCCGGGTTTCCTACCTGCAGTTTGGTATAGGAGGCATTGACCAGTCCATTCCTCAGAACAGAGTGCCAGTTCTCTATATGGGAACCGCTAAAACCAAGAAAGAGAGAGAAGACACAAAAGTTCAAACTAAGTGGATTTATGAAACCACATTTGTAGTGGTTTGACTCACTCTAAAAACCACCTTGTGAAAAAAAAATCTCAAGTATATCTTAAATATTAAAAGCTTTTGCTATTTTTTCTCTTTATCTATTTATAGTCCTAGTCAGTTGTAGAGTTATCTCTTTTCATGAATTTTGTTGTTGAACCTCCACAGCAGGACCTTATTTTAGTTTTACATCTTTTTGCTGAACATTTTGCTGAATATACTGTAYAGGTCCTTCTCAAAAAATTAGCATATTGTGATAAAGTTCATTATTTTCTGTAATGTACTGATAAACATTAAACTTTCATATATTTTAGATTCATTGCACACCAACTGAAGTAGTTCAAGCCTTTTATTGTTTTAATATTGATGATTTTTGCAAAAGAGTAAAGAAAAATCAAAAATCCCTATCTCAAAAAATTAACATATTTCATCYGACCAACAAAAGAAAAGTGTTTTTAATACAAAAAAAAATAGTCAACCTTCAAATAATTATGTTCAGTTATGCACTCAATACTTGGTCGGGAATCCTTTTACAGAAATGACTGCTTCAATGTGGCGTGGCATGGAGGCAATTAGCCTGTGGCACTGCTGAGGTGTTATGGAGGCCCAGGATGCTTCAATAGCGGCCTTAAGCTCATCCAGAGTGTTGGGTCTTGTGTCTTAAGCTCATCCAGAGTGTTGGGTCTTGTGTCTTAAGCTCAT